ACCCATGCTTCGCAGGGTACGCGCCACTTCCTTGCTAAACAGAGTATTATCTTGACACTTCCCATGTCCATTACAGCTGGGAACGTGATGCAGTAGTTGACCCCGAATTTCTGCTCGTTCCCACAGGCCACGAGCCGCGCTATCAAGCGCTCGATTGCTCCCTCAGCGTCTTGCTTGGTCTTAAGCACCCACTTGGTGTGAAGTATTCGTAATTCTCTAGTCGCACCCACTACCTTCCACACCCGTTCGCTTCTGGAGCACTCAGCGTTTCTTCCATGGCCTTCCGCCATTGCTCAAGTCGTTGGCTACGCATAGAAGGTCCATTGTGCTTGTGGTCCGCTTCCACTACGCTGTTCACGACACTGTCCGGCGTCTTCTCCTGCTGGGCAGACTCGTTCATTCCTTCCGCAGTCTTGTGCACTATCGAACGCGTCACGTGTCTGTCGCTCGGCCACGCCTTCTTCGCACGCTTCTTCCCTTAGCCCCGCGCCTGGTTTGCTACCAGCGCTTGCTGCCACAGCAGCATTCTCTGTGCCGTCCGCGGACTCAGCCGACTCACCTTGGATTCCGCGACCAATTCGAGAGTGTACACATTGCTGGTTGCCTTTTCCCCTGGAAGCAAGATCTGCTACGAAAAATGCTCTCATTAGATATATTACAAGCGGAGATTGCAGCTGATATGGAACCTGGAGTGGTCGGCGTACTCACTGTGCTACCAGCCAAGGTGCTGCGAAAGAAGGTATTCCGTTCGTCACAAAGAAGCTGTACCGTATCATCGGCGTGCCTACCGAGCCGGATCGCATAGCAATAGGCAGACCTTATGTGTCTACTTTGAGAAGACATAGTGTGATACATACGGCATTGCTTGTTGGAATATCTCCGGGATGATGAAGAAGACGTCGAGATAGTCGACGGGACTCATAACCCGATGGAGGCGTACAATCGGAGGCTCGCCGAAACATTTAAAGCTACACATCCCAGTATTTTAAGCATTTGTCGAAGTACTTGGAAAAAGGCCAAGAAGTATCTCGACCAACTTGTCAACGTTTGGCACCGTCGCCAGCGCCCTCCACAACATGCATCATTATATACGTATCCAAGCATCCTTCGGCAACGATAAAGATGACATTTTTGGTATTGTAATGTATATACATACATTGTCAAACATTTGTAAGTTCGAAGGATAATTAAAAATATAATTTGTGGAATTGGATGAAGGGCTACTTTCTTAAAACGTTATCACATAAATTCTAATTTGCAGTAAGCTATTTTACTAGAGGATAATTCTTTGGACACGTTTGGTCAATTTGGGCTTCGTTTTGGGAACACAAAAGCGGAATCCCTACAACGCGGCCTAATGCTCCATCGTAGTCGCATCCCCATGAATATACGTCTCCGGTCGAAGTGACAGCGGCCGAGTGGAGACTGCCGCAGGCCACACGGACAATCTCAAGCTTGCCCAGAGGGCGAAAAATAGCGGAAACTTGACCATCAAGTCTTCGTCCGTCTCCACGCCTGACCACAGTTATCGTTACCGAAGGTCAGCATTTAGCCCGCGTAGCTGATATACTCCTTCATGTTCTGCGCCCAGATTTAAGTCTTGCTGTGCACCCATTGCGTCTTACGGTTGGCCAAGAAAGCACGGCTGAGCACAGCGAGCTGGCGAGCTGTCCATGGTATCATAAAGACTGCAAGTGCTTTAAAAACTAAAACAATGCCATCAACCTGCTTTCACAGCCGTAAAAACTGGATCTGGCTGGACCCAAAAGGGTCCCTCATTAAGGGACTACTAGGCAAAAATAAGCTACCCTTTAGAAATACTCCGGGGGAGTACACATATCGGGGTTGAAGAAGAACTTAGCACCGACCATGCCATATCTCGGTATGGCAGATTTTAGCAACTCATGTGAGTACAGCCACATACTGAGAAAGCAACCGGGGTATGCATTCAGTAACTGTTGCCATTTGAGGCTGATAAATGAGCGTTTGACTAGGATTGCAGTCCTATAGTAAATATACTGCACAGGGTTGCGCAGCTGCAGAATAAAGCTCGATACCTTGGAAGTTGGCGTGCAAGAAGCACGATCTCGAGCTCTCGCTCCTAAGCGCAAGTCCCTCTGGGAGCTTCTGCCCATCTATGTTGTTGTTCTACGCTAGTGTTTGTAAATCGCTATGGTGTCATCAATTCCGGTAGGGACGCGCTCTCGGCCAGCAGACGCCGCTCCGAGACAACGTGTATATCTCTAAGGCTATGAGCCCAACGCTGGCACTCCTCATTGTGATGGGACGTTCGCGGTTGCTCGGCAACTGAGCTCGTTGGTAAACACTCTAGCTCGACAATCGGGGTTACAGCAGGCTGAAGAGGTCGCTCCTAGTCATTTACGGAATGGGGCGTCGAATAAGTACGGCTCAGGCAATGTCGGCAGTCAGAGGAGTGATGCAAGTGAGTTGCAGAGCTCCAATGGACGTCGTCAAGAAGGAGAAGTAGGCAGAGAGAATGAGGATTGCTCGCAGGTGGAGGAGATGGCGAAGCTTATCTCAATGTCCAATTACAAGATCGACTTCAAGCTAACAGGCAGTGAAAACTATTACGAATGAAGTACACGCATCATGACGCAGCTCATAGCTACGGATATGAGCAGGATTGTACTTAAACCTTTAGCAACGAGTATCGGTACGGGTCTTCCAGGACCTGTTAGCCAGAGCAACTCACACTCACATTGGCCATAATGTGCGGCTGTGTGTAGGGGATGTTTGCTACCGTAACCTATAGGTTCTGGGGACCCTGTAACAGAGTCAATCATGACCAGAACAAATTAGCGGCTGCGTGCACTATAAGAGCTATAGAGGCTCGCTTCCCCCTCCACCTCCAGACGTTCGACTGTGAGTAAATGGAGGAGGCTGTTACCGGAGCCTGAAACGTCCAAAGCGATGACGAGACTGTAGCAGGCGATGACTACGACGACCTACGCCTGGTGGTTGCGTCTGCAAGCCCACGTCAGCCTGAGTCTATCCACAGAGACGCTCCACGACCTGCACCGGCCCTTACATCAGGGACGCACTCAGAAAATACATACTTTAGGAAAATTCAAGAGGAGAGTAGGCTACAATTAACCATGGAGTCCTTCGGTAGAGATGTTTACGAGAAGGAAGGAGTCTATGGCCTATTATCGCTGTTCGTCACCTACACTGCGTCAGAGTATTAGAGGGTGGACATCGGCTAAATCGAATCAGAGGGGAAGAAGGCTGTAAGTGAAAGCGAGCTCAATGCTTACCTGGGCCTGGAGATGGCCATGCATCTCTGTCCGTTCAGCGCCGTCGCTGATTACTTGTCCAAAGATCGGTCTCTCGAGCAGACTTCCTCTATAGAGACTATGTGTCGAGATCGCTTTCAGCATATTCGAGCTGCGCTGCGACTTCGTCCGCCCTCCTTGGTGACATTCAATACGGCTCGAGATCCGCTGCGCCGTTACAGAGTCCTATTGCAGCGCTCCCAGAAGCGCTTTGCGGAAGCAGCCGTATCATTAGGCGTCCGTAGCTTTGACTAGATCTCAGTTCGTACCAAAGGGACGCTCTTGAGTGAGGACGTGCATGCCCTCCAAGTCAGCCAAATACGGCCTGCATTTCTACTCAGTTGCTGGATGGAATTCGCTATACGTGCATCAACTATGGGATAATGAGCAATGCTACACAGTATACGCCGGCTGAGCGGTATACGCAGTTGCTTCCGTCGCATCGAACACCATTGTGAAAGCCGCTATCACTGCCGGACATCCTCATCGATCACAAATCGGCTACAGCGCTTTGGATAGTCATGGCAGTACACCATTCCAGCACAATCCGCTCACCTACTGGTCGCCGCTTGCAAATATCAGACAACTTCTACACGCGCCACACGTACGCGCGTGCCATTGACGCCTTCACCAATGGAGAAGTCATACTGCTTGGTACGGTTATTTTTGAATCTAGTGGACAAATTCAACACGTTTGCTCTTGAACCAGCCGTGAAACGCGTTGCTAGCCAGGACTGAGGGCCGTGGGAACTGGCATCTGCCGTGGACCCGGAGCACAGCTACAAAACAAATGATGCTGCACACAAAAAGAAACACAAAGTTCTTCCGAGGAAGCAGCGCACTGAGTACGTACCGACGCTGGCTACGCCCAAAACGCTGAATATGTCGTGTTCAAAGATCGAAAGGTCGTGCTCTTTTACTCGAGCGATCTAAAGAGAGCTATGTCAGCTTCTACTCTCAGCTCAAATTCACCTGAGGTAGTAAAGGGTTGCCATGGTACTGTGCCGTTATTGCATTGGACCGGCGATAGAATTTTGGATCGTACGCAGCTCGTGGCCCCAACCCTCATCGCTGTATAGAGCAAATGCGTGAACGCTGTCGATCGCGATGGCCGACTACGCTGTACGAATCCAACAAGACGCCGTTTGAAGCGTATGTACATATCTGTATTCAGGTTGTTAAAGCTTTCAGTCATAAATGCATTCGCATTGCAAACGCCACATCACCAGTTTAACGTCAGCATCAGTATGACTCCGAGAGTTCAAACAAACGCTAGTGGGTACGCTAATATGCAACGAGAAAAGTGTCAAACAACAGCGTTTGAGGCGCCAAAAGAAGCGAAAGCCCGAAGAATTGACAAGGCTGTTGGTAGCGATATCTCGTTGCATGCGATTACCCCAAACTCAACCTAATACAGTAACGGAAAATTGACCTGCAGCTTACGTCGGATGCCTACCAATAAAATCCAAATACGGATGCACAAAGTGTAAACGCGGCTTTCACGTAGAGTGTTATACCGCTTTTCATTTCGAGGGGGCTCACCAGACCGAATTATCACAGCTTCAAATAAGCTTTAGAAAAAATAGCTCGGGCTTCTACGGGAGATCCTGTCGCATTTACCAGAAAACGTAGCAATATAAGTATCAGGCCAGTCAGTAAGCTAATACTACCACATAAAAACAAACTGCATATTAAATACATACACTTACATATTCGCAATTGGTTGGCCAAAGCTGTAGAAGTCTCTTGCTAGCGCACACAGGCATCGCTCTTTGCATCTTGCCTGTCTGAAGATTAATAAACAACCAACTACGGGTCTTACGGAGGGTCTGGTGACGACATCGGGAGCTTAGTCCTGTCTATATTTGCTGCGTTCACTCCATCTTTGCCACTTCGTAGACGGCCCACACACAAGGCGCGCGCCCACACCACCCGCACACGCTGTTGGTACTGCTCGAGGGATCATCTTGCTACTGGAATATCAAATCGCAAACTATCCTCAATCAAATAATAGAGTTATTGTTCGTCACCACACTGTTTCTCTATTGGTTTAAATGTTGGAAATGCGCCCTCTGATTGGTTTTGATATGTGCATGTGTGGACCTGTACGCCAACGTCCGTAGAAAGATTGACTGTTCACTTTCGCAGAAGAACTGACATAAGTGTCTTGATGTTCAGCGGGCAAATGCGCACAGCCATTTGGTCCAGCATGTCTCATGGGAAGTGCTTCAACGGCTTCAGCCCGAGATGGAGAGATGTGATCCTTGTGTACTTCGGTAGGCGTTGAGCATTGAGTTTCTGCGTGAAGACGGGATTGAGACGATCTTTATCTTTAATGACACTAACAGCTGCATGCTTCGCAAGGACGAGAAACCGCGCGAGTGCACCGATGACCTACTAACTACGTATGCGTCGTGTCCTCCGGGGAAAAGGTGGCGGGGCTGCCGTAGCTTTAGCATCAGGGGAGAGCGTTCGACTCAAAGAGTCACTTGTACTAAGTCCCTTATCCGAAGAACACTTACAAACCACCGCCAGTTGCTGGAGTTTCTCTTGCTTTCAGTGTGGTCGACTTCAATATCACACTGAGATGTCGTAGTAAAACTACGCTAAAATTTATTATTAAATATAATGTTAAAATGAAATAAATATTTAAAAAAGTGCCACGTCGTGTTTTCCCCAATAAAAAACTGCAGCCACATCCTCACGGTAGTGTCGCCCAGCTCGCATTCCACCGACAGCAAGCTGTCGTTCAGTTCCACTTCATTCGACATACGAAGCAAGGGTATTGCGGTGTCGAGAGCTCCAACCGCCAGTTTGCACTAGTACGCAAGAAGGTAGCACGACATTTGCGGCACCTATCCACCCCTCCACATCGACGGCTACAAGACCCAGCACTCAAGTGCATCAGTTGGATGCGAATAGGTGCTGTCAATCGCAGCTCGAGCTGCATGTAGCCCGCCAAAGGCTCAGCAAACCGCTGCGACTAGCGTAGCAGCGTCAGAGCGATTAGGCAGAGACTCAGCGGACACCCTGAGCCGCGCCGAGGTGAGCTTCGTGTGTTTTTAAGCTTAAAAACTTATTTTAAAAAGGTTAAAACGTGCGCTTACTTTTACTAACAACGAATGCGTGGCTGCTTTCCAAAACACGATGCAGTGGATCGCGTCGATACTTCAACAGCTCGTCCAGATATTCCAGTATCGATATCGGGCGCCAGATACGCCAGCCGATGCCAACCGGGCCGCAAACCAATGTTACCGAGTCAAGGCAAGCTTGCCGGGTGTTTGCAGAGTGCGGAAGGGCGCCAGAAGCCATTTATCACACGCGTTCCGGCCATTCTCAGACCCATTTCGAGTACGCACTTGGACTCGTGCATACTCGCCGCTGGGTAAGCCAGACCAGAAGTGCCAGAAGTGACCTGCATGACGGCAAGGACACACATCAAGGAGATGTCTAGCAGCATTTGCGTCGCTCTCAGACGAGCACCGTCATGGAGATCCGCATCAACGACGCCATCTGGGCTATAATCTCTATGTTGTCGCGTGGAAGCGAACATGACCCGATCGTGGCTTCCGGATGCGTGAGTTGCGCTACTACCACAAGCGTCCAGAGGTTCCGAAAATGTTATTTTTATTGAGACTGGCAAAACAGCAATACGAATAACTTGAAGTGCTTGGAGCACCACGGGTGCAAAATTATTGGTGTTATTGCATGCAATATACAGTGGGCTGATACTCGTCTAGTTGGTGGGAGCCTCACCACGCACAGCCTTCTGCACTGTGACAGCGTTCCAGTAGCTCACCTTGAGGAATAGAATCGACTCCAGGTGTAGCGGGGTCATGCTCTGGCGGTATATTCCCAGCACAGCCTTCGCCTGGCTGAAAAAGCGCTCCACAAGGTTAGATGTGGGCGTGATGCAGGCTACGTGGTCTTTAAAGCGTGGTGCTTTCTCCTGCTGACGACGTGCCTCCACAAGTATGTCCTTCTCGAAATCTTCTCTCGCAGTCTTGGTTGGGGGCTCTATATCGGTGGGTCGGGTCCCACCAGACGCAAGCTTGACAAGCACGTTAAACGATTCCTCTGGGATGGCTGCCTCGTTGCCGAGAAGAACCTGGACGCAAGCTTCCTCGAACGCGGGGCTCTTCCCGATCGATGCGTTAGGCACTAGGTACTTCTTGACGTCTGGTGCCAGCTTGATTAAGGCGTCGAACAGGTCGCGCACATCCAGCAGCATCACACTATCAGCCTGTTGAAGCTGCTTCGAAGTTGACTCGAACTTCTTGAGGCTCTCTAGAACACACACAAGAGCCTTATCGTCGCGACGGGAGAGCAGCATCGACGTTATCTCATCGTCATCAATCTTATCCATTACTTCCTTGGGCTCTACATAGCGGCGGACCATCGCAAATGCAGACGACCAGCGAGTCGCCTGACGAAGTACCGGACGCAAGGTGGTCACTCGGCTGAATACAAAACATAAAAAAGTACAATATAAAATATTCGAATTTAATCCCAGAGTAGTGTAAGTTTAAAAGAAGACTTACCGTAAATGAGCAGCGGCGATCAGGGAGCTCTTTAGCTTGATCATGACGGCCTGGACTTGATCAAGAAGGTGATCGTGCTCAGCGAGCATGATGTTCACGGCCAGGTGGAGGCGGTGACTGGCGCAACCCACAAAAGAGACATTGAGCTCATCAGCAATTTTACAGTTTTGACTGTAATTTTTTACCAACGATGCAAGCAATGTTGTCGGTTGATTTGTTGAAGAACTTTGGTATAGCCCCTATGAAAGATACATGTGCAGGGGCCGTATGGTCGTCCACATCATCATCCACCAATGGGGCCATGGCGAGCAACACGTTTTCAGTCCCCCCGTCGTGGTGAAAGGGGGCGAAGATCGCGACGAAGTGCTCCGACCGAAAGGTCCACCCGTCAAAAATGATGCCAAACGATTTAGGGAGGATATCGGCAATTACGATTTCGATCTCACGAGTTAGTAGCGTCATGTAC